TTCTTTTTAATTAAACCTGGATTCCCAATGCAACATGTTGAAGGAAAATTTCTGTCATAAAAGTGTTGCGTGTGTATTTTCTTGTTATAGTCTCCATCATTGATTAATACAAAGCCTTGTTTAGTCTTAACACAATATTCAGTCCAGGATACTGGTGTCCCTAAATCTCTACAGCAACTGCAACATTTAGCTTTATCTACTTGTTCCCAATTCATTGCTTGATTTGCTGCTACAGCGCTATTAAAGTCATTTTCACTTCCAAACATTTTGATTGTTACTTTTCGAAATTTTTCATCTGGTTTCCCTTTGCTTCCAACATAAACTTCCACAGATCTTCCACAAATGAAGGTTAAACTCCATGCCAGATTACATTGAACTAAAATCAATTAAAGTAAAATATTCGAACTTTTTAATATATTTTTATTATTTTTTGAATAATCAACTAAAACTTACCGATTAATAGGAGAAATAATGAAAAGAATCGCGTATTCAACTCCATTGAAAAGTATTTGGTATCTTCAGAGAAAATTAACTCACAACTGAATTGAAAACGCCTGGGCACTAGAGTTTTATAGTCATTGGTAAACAAGTCAAAATTGATAAATTGTGGAAATATTTTTAATTTAAATGATACATTTTTTACATTTGTTACAATTATTTTTTTTCGTTAAGTTCAGAAAAAAGCAAACAATTTGAATATAATTGAGTAAATATTTGGTTCTCAATAACATCACTGACTCAATTTGTTGTTTGGGAAACATAGGTGGAGAGACTTTTTTCGCAGGAGGAGGGGCAAATGGTATGCGGCCGAAGGAAGGGGGAGTCAACCAAAAAAACACGATGTTTTTTCGTTTCGTTAAATGATTGAAATGAATAAATTTGCTTGGTGAAATAGAACATTGTTAGGAAATTTTTCTCTGTGACTTTGGTTTTTGAATCAAATGCGTTGTCACTTTCGTACAAGAGTAAGTCTTCATAGCTTTGAAATCCGAGACAGAGGAGGGCAAATCGCATTTTTTGTTTTTGTAAGGGGGTAATTTTCAATTTTTGCAGACCGGGGCAAATACCGCACGTGTGTGTGACAGTGGGGGGCAAAACACGGAAACCTCCCTCTCCCCACCTATGTTTGGGAAACCTATAAAAAAAAATTTATATAATATTATACGTCAGATAATAAAACAAATCTAGGAATTATTTTGGCGACATAGAGTCGTATTTCTAGCAGTAATTAATCAAATTATTAGCCTATTATATCAAATATTTTAATGATTACTTAATTATATGAAGAAATGCAAATGAAGTTAATAATACATATGCAATCAAATTTAATCGAAAAAAAAAAACATCTTAAATTGTAAACTTTTTCTTCGCATTAAAAAAACAGTTATAATATACATAATAATGAGATTAACACATATGCTCTCAGAAAAATCAATGCTGGATGATTTGGATTATCACTCTAGAAGAAGAAGCTAGTGCGGACAAATGTGATTTTGCCAAGAAGTCGAGTTAGCTACCGAAATGGGGCATTGTGAAATAGTTATTTTTCTCTTGAATTCAGCTTATTCATGGTCATAGTGTGTGTGTCATGCAAGAATTTTTCATTTTTTCTGTGTCCGTTTGTGTCCACACAAGGAAATATTCTGTAAATTTACATTTTCCACGATCATAAATATTCATAACGGGCATTCCGTCATGAAAACAAACAAGAAAAAAATTATATGGCGTCTCCACGGTGCGTTTGACAGTTACCTAAGAGTTGATCAGAAGAAAAGAATGGAAAAAATGGAAATTAATCAATGCGTAATGGATCGGAATGGAAAATGAAACTATAGATGAAAGTATATACTTTATAGTTAAGTAAAGTAAATACTTATAAAATCAATGACCACAACAACAACATTGCTTTAATTTGGGATTTCATTGTAGCAGTAGTAGTGTTGAGATCGTTGATCACTGTGAAAAGAGAAAAATTAATATGCTTACTATTTCTAGTACTTGTTAGCATCGTCCACTACTACGTCTTGGTATCATTGTTTGAAACAATGAGATTCCCATTGTGAGAATGTTCGCGTAGACGTCCGTGCTTATAATTTTATTTTTGATTTTAATTGTAGTAATAATGGAGTTGATGCCTGAATGGTCGAAAACAATTTGGCATCGGCAGATGATTCAACATGTACAATCCTTTCTTAATCATATTTCTCGCTGCATTTATGTCGCGACTGAATATAACTGTTGTTTTCGGTTCCAACTGCTTCTGGTATCTCTTTTTCTTTTGTCTTGGTTGTGGATTTGGATTTGCTTCTGCTTCTGGAACCGGTCGATGGAATGTACATATGGAACGGTATTTCCATTCTTGATGTTTCTTTTTGAAAGTACGATGAACTCTGCCTGTCCATTGAATTGGATCGTGAAAAACGCCATCTTCGACCGGTTTACAGTTGGGGCAAACTAGAAAACTGGAGAAAAGAAAATACAATCAATAATAATAATAATAATAATGTCATTCATTGGCAATGGTCTTACCGGTCTTTTGATTGACGTTCTGGTACACTTCTTCGTTTCTTCAGCTTACGTCCTGATCGACTACACTTCTGCGATGTGTTGTGTTCGTTGATTGGCAAAACGAATACATATTCACGTGCCATTTGTTGCAATGCACGATGCGGACACCGTAGATATCCTTTGATGGGTGAGTTTGATGCAAATTTTGCACCACCAAATGCCAATATCACTGTTTTCTCAGCATCCGACATTCTACGATCGACTTTTGTCATTTGCTTTACCAACACATGCAATGCTACCTGCGTACGTGTATATGCATCAAACTTTAAACGAACCACACGTTTTTGATACTTTATCTATATAAATTAAGAATGAATGACA